TGCCTTCATTTTTACGGATACCCACATTCCGACGTGCGCCGCAGCGCCAAAGACCCGCGTCTCTCCTCCGGGCTTCGCCAACCCACCGGCTAGATTTCCAGGCCCCCAGCAAGAACCGGCTGCTTCGCCCGAGAACCCCAGGATCCGGGAGCCGCCTCCGCCGACCCCGGGGGGCGCTTCCCCATGCCCCCGCGCTGACCCAGAAAGGACCCCAAATCCCCCTTGTCCCCCCAAGCAGCCACCTCATTCCAGCAAGCGCTGGAGAGGCGCCGAGCCAGGAGAGACCCGTCTTGCAAAAGCCGGCCGCTCCGACGTGCCATGCAACCCCCGCGTCCCCAACCCGGGACCACGTGGGAAACCGGAGCAGAGAAGGAAAAAGGGGGAGGGGATTATTATGGGATGCCGTACGGCAGGCGAAGAGGGACCGATCGGCGTTGCGCGTTTTTGCTTTGCAAAAAAAAAAAAAAAGCAAAAAAAAAAAAGCAAAAGCACCGGGCTCGCTTGCTGGCCAAAGGCGTCGTCTGAATAGGTGACACGGCAGCCGTGTCTCCAGCCCCCCCCCCACCTCACCCCTTTGGCGATTCGAGTTTGATTGCACTCGCTTTGCAAAGAGGCCGTGTGTGTGTGTGTGTGTGTGTGTAGAGTGGCAGCCCGCGCCTTACACGGATCTGCGGTTGTGTGTGAACGGGGCACAATCTTTCAGCGCTTGGCACCGCGGGGTCGGAAGGGGGAACCCAGCTTGGTTAACCCAACCCAGGCTGGCTCAAAGCGGTGGTCGCTTGGGTTGCAAATTCAACCGGTTGGCTGCAAACCCAGCCTTGCTTCGTGTGAACGAAGCTGGGTTGGAGAATGAAGCGCTTGGCGTGGCCGTCAGAGCAGCCAGCTGGCTTGGCATCTCGGGTTGGTTTTGTGGGGGCTGGACCACGTTGGGGAATGCCAAGTCTTTGTAGGGTTAGAGGTTCAGGGCTTGGGGGAACCTCAAACGTAGAGAATTGGGTTGACGGTCGCTGTGTCCCCCTGGGGTCAGAGATGCCCTTAGCTGCAGCGATTCACTTAAAAACGGGGGCAACAGGTCGTAAAATGGGGCAAAATTCCTTTAACAAATGTCTCACTTAACAACAGAAATTTTGGACTCTGTTCTCTTCGGTTGCATCCCATCCCATCCCGTCCTCTATTTTATTTTATTTTATTCTACTATTCTATTCTATTCTATTCTATTCTATTCTATTCTTCTATTCTGCTCTATTCTATTCCTATTCTGTTTTGTTCTAGTCTATCTACAATCTGTTCTATTCTATTCTATTCCATTTCATCCTCTATTCTATTTTATTCTATTCCGTATTTCTATTCTATTCTACTCTATTCCATTCCATTCTACAATCTGTTCATTCTATTCTATTCTATTCTTCTACCCCTATTGTATTCTATTCTATTCCATCCCATCCTCTAATTCTATTTTATTTTATTCTATTCTATTCCGTATTTCTATTCTATTCTATTCCATTCTATTCTACAATCTGTTCATTCTATTCTATTCTTTTATTCTATTCTGCTCTATTCTATTCCTATTCTGTTTTGTTCTAGTCTGTCTACAATCTGTTCTATTCTATTCCATTCCATTCCATCTTCTATTCTATTCTATTCTATTCCATTCCATCCTCTATTCCATTCCATTCCATCTTCTATTCTATTCTATTCTATTCTATTCTATTCTATTCTATTCCTATTCCTATTCCTATTCTATTATTTCTGAAGAAGCTTCTTGGATGAGAAGCGAAACGTCTTCAAAGAAAAAACAAGAAAGTCCAGTTGCCTCTTGAAAAAAAAGCACCTTTGGGACAGAAGCCACCACTGAAGAAGCTTCTCAAACAAGAAGCAAAACGTCTTCAAGGAAAAACAAAGTCCAGTTGCCTTTTGAACAAGCATCTTTGGGACAACCATGATGAGAATCTCAGCAGAACATGGCTACTGAACTAGAGGTCCATCCTGGAGAGAGGGGGGGGGGGAGAAAGACCAAAGCACCCCAAGGATGAAAAATCAAAATTTTATTTTCCTGAAGTTGGCGTCATACAACGGAAAGCAAGAATACACCCATGTGCCAAGTCACGTAACACTTTTCCAACAACAACAACAACAACAAAAATAATAAAAGGCCAAGTGTCAATCAAACATACTTCCTCATGAACATGAACAGAGTGGCGACGATGCTGAAGGTCAGTTGGGATCCAAATTCAGACGCTACGTACAAAATGCTGAATCAGTAACAAACCCGTAGGGGAAAGGAAGTGGATAAAAGAAGCCCCTTCCATCCTAATTCCCCCCTCCCCATTTTAAACTTTTCCCCATTCCAATAAATAACTACTTTCCCCACCAAACAAAACGAGCAAAAAAAAGTCAACAATGTCTCATGCTACATGCAGTTAGTTTGAAAACCTAAAAAGACAAAATAATAACAAAGTCACCAATATGGCGTTAAGAAATGCCTTGTTTCTAATATTTGTTTTCTTTAATCCAAGCACAGTGGTTAAATTTCAAGTATTGAGCAAATATTGTACGTGTGAGAAAGATGAAGTTCAGTAATTCTCTTTCTTTCTTTCTTTCTCTTTCTTTCTTTCTTTCCTTCCTTCTTTCTCTTTTTTTCTTTTCTTTTTCTCTCTCCTGAATGACGTGGACAGCTAAGACGCATTCAAGTCACTAAGGATAGCAGGAAAGTTAGCTCTGAGTAAACCAAGTGGTTTAACAAAGTGGGGGAGATAAATTGGAAATTTACAGCCTCGAAAACAAAAACTGGCAACCTGACAAAGACTTTTTCAAACCACGTTTCTCGTGCAACAGGCATGGCATCTTTGTCCCGTTAGCAGCAGGAACAGAATCTTTTAAAAAGTTTAGATTATCCAACGATCCCCTCTGGTGTTTAAACAAGACTTAAGGAAGAAAAACAGCTGAAATACGCAAAAAAACGTGACCTGATTTGATCAAGGAGAAAACGCGACATGCATTTTTAAAAGACTGGACATCTCGACTGGACTTTTGCTAAATGGAGAAAAAAGCGAAACGAGGATTGATGGGTGGATTGAATGATTTGGGGGGGGGGGGAATCCATATTCTACGAAGTAAGAGATAGAAAAGCCAGAAAAACATGCAGTCAAGTATCGGCAATGCTGGTCATGCCCAAATCTAGCAACACACGTTCAGCCCGATGGAGCAACGCATCCCGAAAGTCCTAAAACAAGATCAGGATGTTATTATTTTAAAAAGCAGATAAAGGACACTCAACAGATTATGAAATGAAGGCATTTGCCTTCAGGAGACCCGAACTCATTGGTAGCCTCACGTTGTAATGAACAAGGACACACATTCAATTTTGCAGCTGCAAAGATTGTTGGCTGAGCAGGTACAAAGACAGCCAGGGAAAAGATTGAAGCCTGGGAAACAGGCCCCTTGTCAATCAACATGATGGCTGATTTATCACCAGCTTGTCCAAGTGATTGGCAGCCAGTCGCCAGCCATCAATACACCGATCAGCCAATAGAGAATAATTCCCTGAAAATGGGCTCCAGAATGAGTCCAAAAACTCGGAAGAATAAAACCACTGGTCCCAGTGACCGATCCAGATTCAACTTTGAAAAAATAAAATAAAATTAAGGAGCAGAAGGGATTTCTGGAATAATTCAGAAGGGAAGGTGTTGGGTCTGTTAGGATGTTTTGAACAGTAGAGAGGGAGTGATCTGCTTTCGTTCCTTTAGTTATTGTCCTCTCTTTTTTTTTTTTTCCCCCTCTTCCCTCCTTCTCTATTTTCTTTACAGATTTTTTTTAAATTTATGGAAAAAACATCTTTAATAAAAAATAAATAAAAGTCTTCCAGAGGAGAAGATGGCTTAAGATAACTGGAATCTTTATTTCCCCACTCTGTTTTGGTTTAGAGTCATGAAAAGGGTTGGGGTATGCCTCAAATTTTGTGAGTAGGTGGCGTTAATATGAGTGTTTTTTTGGGGGGAGGGATGTGTGAGGGGCTGAAACAGATAAATTGCTTTCACAGTTGATTGCCTGGGATGCCGATTGGTAGAGAAAAAAATTAGAGAGAGAGAGAGGGAGGGAGAGGTAGAGAGAAAGGGAAAGGGAGAGAGAGAGAAAGAGGGGGAGAGAAAAGAGGGAGAGAGGGAGAGAAAGAGAGAGAAAGAGGGAGAGGAGAGAGAGATTGCAGCTACAAGCCATGTTGTAACAGATACGTACTGTAATAGAAAAGTCGCAACCAAGTATTACAAACACAATGGGATAAAATCAGACTGTGGGATAAGTAATGTGCAAATAGAGGACACTATCTGCTCTCTTTCACACACACACACACACACACACATACACACCATCTCAGGGGCAGACTGTGAGAATATCCCTTCTCTCCAACTCTTATTTTGGAGCTTTTCATGACTGTATCTTCCTAACTTCTTAACTTTTCTGTTTTGCACACCTAGACAAGTTGGAAGTTTCTGGAGCCCAACAAACTAACACGCCGCGTGAGAGGTTTTTCCAAAGCTGAATATTCCTCTTATGGACTAGCCAGAAGAATTCCCATTCTTAAATTCTCAATCTGTGGTTTGTCCTTGAGGCGATGTACCTAAGAATGTCTGAACTGTATTCCTAACATCTAGCTAGTTCTTGATAATAACTTGATGCTTGATAAAACCCAGATATGTTTAGCATTGCTGGAAACTTGGGGAGATACTTTGGGTTTATACATAAGATGTGCATCTCCACTCCTGGCTCATATTTCATGAGGGCTAAAATAATGTTCCCCTGGACTGCAAGGCCATCAAACCGGTCAGTCCTGGAGGAGATCAACCCTGACTGCTCTTGAGAAGGCCAGATCCTGAAGTTGAAACTCAAATACTTTGGCCACCTAATGAGAAGGAAGGACTCGCTGGAGAAGAGCCTGATGCTGGGAAAGATGGAGGGCAAGAGAAGAAGGGGACAACAGAGAATGAGGTGGTTGGATGGAGTCTCCGAAGCAGGAGGCGTGAGCTTCAATGGACTCCAGAAGATGGTAGAGGACAGGAAGGCCCGGAGGAACGTTGTCCATGGGGTCGCAATAAGTCAGACACGACTTCGCAACTAACAACAACAAAATAATGTTTGCTGGTTTCTCGTTTGTTCAGGCACAATTCAACATTGATGGCTTTTAATCCATAAAGCCCTCTTTCTCTTGAAACCAAACATCATTGTACCTAATTTAAACACGATCGAATTGCCAGAAACGCCGTAAACAAAAGATGTGTGGAAATGCTCCGTGTAAATGAGGGGGACTTTTTTTTTTTAAACCTTTTAATGCATTAAATGTAGATTGTCTTTAAAAAAAAAAAAAAAAAGGTTCAGAACTGGCTTCTAAGTCAGTAAGCTTGTTCCTTATGAGAAAAATCAGGGATAGATTCTAACTGGCTGCGTGCAAAGAAACTCGACTCGCTCTCATTTTAGAAAAGGGGAAGAAAAAAGAACGTTAATACTGAAATCTAGGTTGTATTTTACAAGCACGCGTCCTCACTTTGCATGGACAAAAAAAACCCGAACCAAACTTTGAATCCCTGTTTAAAAATAAAATAAAAAAATCAAACCCAAACGCACACATCACAACACAACACTACACAACACAAAGCTCACGGGTGTCTCTCAAGCATTTGCTCGCAGCCGTGGCGCCTTCACAAGTTCAACGGTGCATGAAACAGCCCATCCACCCCTTCAGACAAACGCAGGCACACTCCAAAATGCAGAAACGTACACACGCCATGCCCTAACATTTTTTTTTCGAGGGGGGGGGAGAGCTACTTCATTGCTTTAAAAACAGGAGGATTGGGAATTTTTAAGTTAAATGCTAAAACAGGAAAACGGACAACTAAAAAAAAAAACCTTTGCAAAAACGGGGGGGGGGGGGAGAGAGTAAATTGCAAATACATAAGCAATCACAATCCTGTCCTTGAGCTTCTGAAGACCAGGCTGCTTTGAATAGTATATCGAAAGAAAGAAAGAAAGAAAGAAAGAAAGAAAGAAAGAAAGAAAGAAAGAAAGAAAGAAAGAAAGAAAGAAAGAAAGAAAGAAAGAAAGAAAGAAAGAAAGAAACAGCTAGAGAGGAGAGAGAGAGACAGAAAGAGAAAGAGCGAGAGAGGAGACAGAGAGAGAGAGAGAGAGAGAGAGAGAGAGAGAGAGAATAAAAGAGACCATCATTGACATTAGAAAACGTTCAAGTTAGCAACCTGGATTACAGAGGGAACAGGAAAAAGGCATAGCTGTCCCCCCCCCCAATTCTAATAACATACAGTACAGTTAAAACATGTAAGATTACGCTATACATTATATACACATAAATACATATTGGATCTTAGCAACGTGTTTGTGTGTGTGTGTGTGTGTACGTGTGTGTGTAGACACCCACACATACTTGTAGTGCAATTTCTGAACAACAACAAAAACCAACGCAAAGGAATCCTCTACGATGAAATTAGCACATAGCAGAACATGTCAAGAAGTCCCGTGCAGTAGACACCCCAGGAGCTCTTAAGAGAAAAGTCCAATACGCCAGCATCGAATTCCACATCTCCTTAAAGTGCTCCTTTGATTCACAAAGCTAGTGTGTGCATTGCATATGTGTTTTCTTTCCTCTCTTTTCCTGTCCTTCGGGGAAGAGAAGCTATTGATGAGAAGAAGAAAAAAACACAACCCAATGTTTCTCCAGAAGAGTTGCCTTCTTACAACACAGGTACCTAAATCGGACGAGGGGGCCGTTTCCATGCATTGATTTAATGCCCCCTTGCCCATGTGTAGAAGGCATCTCTTTACTCTAGAGGTTTTTGGCTTCTTCTTGAGACGGAACACGATAGCTTAAGATTGTATTGCGTGGCTCCAACTGCTTGAAAGAGGTCTACGGTCTTCCGTGGATTTGTCCACCTCCCCGTCGACGAAGGGAAGAATGGCTCTGACCCATCACATCCACCACAGGAGAGCATCAAGTCTAATTTCCAGCATCCTGGTGGATGAAGCAAGCTCAAGCAAAGCTGAGCTCCAGATACTTCTTCCTTCTTCCCACGCAAAGAGGGATGCGAAGCGTGGGAGATGTTGAAGCACACCAAGTACATGGAGATTGGGGAACGGTGGGCAGGTCCCAAGCGGGCAACCAGANGAGAGAGAGAGAGAGAGAGAGAGAGAGAGAGAGAGAGAGAGAGAGAGAATAAAAGAGACCATCATTGACATTAGAAAACGTTCAAGTTAGCAACCTGGATTACAGAGGGAACAGGAAAAAGGCATAGCTGTCCCCCCCCCCCCAATTCTAATAACATACAGTACAGTTAAAACATGTAAGATTACGCTATACATTATATACACATAAATACATATTGGATCTTAGCAACGTGTTTGTGTGTGTGTGTGTGTACGTGTGTGTGTAGACACCCACACATACTTGTAGTGCAATTTCTGAACAACAACAAAAACCAACGCAAAGGAATCCTCTACGATGAAATTAGCACATAGCAGAACATGTCAAGAAGTCCCGTACAGTAGACACCCCAGGAGCTCTTAAAAGAAAAGTCCAATACGCCAGCATCGAATTCCACATCTCCTTAAAGTGCTCCTTTGATTCACAAAGCTAGTGTGTGCATTGCATATGTGTTTTCTTTCCTCTCTTTTCCTGTCCTTCGGGGAAGAGAAGCTATTGATGAGAAGAAAAAAAAAAACCACAACCCAATGTTTCTCCAGAAGAGTTGCCTTCTTACAACACAAGTACCTAAATCGGACGAGGGGGCCGTTTCCATGCATTGATTTAATGCCCCCTTGCCCATGTGTAGAAGGCATCTCTTTATCCTAGAGGTTTTTGGCTTCTTCTTGAGACGGAACACGATAGCTTAAGATTGTATTGCGTGGCTCCAACTGCTTGAAAGAGGTCTACGGTCTTCCGTGGATTTGTCCACCTCCCCATCGACGAAGGAAGAATGGCTCTGCCCCATCACATCCACCACAGGAGAGCATCAAGTCTAATTTCCAGCATCCTGGTGGATGAAGCAAGCTCAAGCAAAGCTGAGCTCCAGATACTTCTTCCTTCTTCCCACGCAAAGAGGGATGCGAAGCGTGGGAGATGTTGAAGCACACCAAGTACATGGAGATTGGGGAACGGTGGGCAGGTCCCAAGCGGGCAACCAGACAAAATCTGTAGAAGAAACTGCTCTCTTCACCTGGGACGTTCTTCCCTGGCTGAGCTTCATCCTTCTGACCACGAGAAGCCATCCCGGTGTCCACTGCCAGCAGTAGACGAAAGTAACTCCAAATTAAGAGGGCCAAGTTGGCCTGGCCATAACCCCATCTGTCCGTCTTCAGAAACAAAACAAAACCAGCGGACACGAAGCACGTTTGGTCCTATGGTTCCCTCAGCCCCTTTCCCACCAGCTGGAAAAGGGTCTTTCTGTATCTACCTGTCCCCAGTTTGCACCCAGGTGAGCAGGAATGAGCTGCTACTCCTGGAAAAAGAGAAAGGAAGAGAAGGGTTAACCAGGAAAGGTCTCACGGCCAGCCAGGGAAAACCAAAAAATGGCTTCCAGGAAGAGGTCCCATCTGAGACTTCTTCAAAAGGCTGGAGGGTTTAACTCCCAGGGGTTTTTAGGAAGCAAAGCAATTACCTGCATGGAAAAAAACTAAAGCTTATCGTCATGCACAGATCCCTGATAGCAAACTGGACAGCCGGCGTTCAATGCACATTTTACCTAAAAAGACAAAAGGATAAAGAGGAATATGATTCATCGGTTGGGTGAGACACATCAACATTCGCGAGGACTGGAAAAATACCCCAAATCTTCAAAAAATAATTAAAAAAAGCTTTAAACTCCAATGTCAAACCTGACTTGACTCCATAGTTGCCTGCACCTGCTTTTGCTCACTGCTTGACCAAACAGTGACAGGAGGAGGGTGGTGAATTACTAAGGGTGGAAGGAGCCTATGAAGAATGTTTGGTTGGAGCAGACAGTTTTTCCCAAAGCAAAAGAACTGAAAATTGGTGAACTGTGGGTGGCCCAGAATGGAAGAGGGGCGTTACCTATGGGGGTTTTGACGGGAAAATCCCCAAACTGACTTTGCTTCTGCCGTGCCAAGATGGAAGCATAACATCCAGATTCAGTCACAGCTTTGTTCCATACAGTATTAACCTTGTGAACTCTAAAACTTCCTCCTTGAGTTATGTATTCAAGATGGACAGTGATTAATATTGATATGTTACTTATATGTAAGGGTGTAGGTCAGGGGTAGGCAACCCTGGCTCTTTTATGACTGGTGGACTTCAACTCCCAGAATTCCTCAGCCAGCCATGCTGAGGGGAAAGGGAGAGGTTTCCAAGCTGAGCCATGCTGGCTCAGGAATTCTGGGAGTTGAAGTCCACGAGTCATAAAAGAGCCAAGGTGGCCTACCCCTGGTGTAGGTCTATACATATGTTGTATATAGTATGTTTTAGATGTGTGTTATGTATGTGTACACTTTGAGAGGAAGCAACTAAATTTCACTCTTTTTAACGTGTGCCATTGTGCCCCACAGGAAAAAAATGACAATAAAGGTTACTTAATCTAAAAAAAAAAAATTCAATAAAGCTAGACTCTTGGTCATCCTAAAGAGCTGGGAGTTTCTTTTGTTGAAAGTGCCAAATGGGATGGTTGATACCCAATTTTGTGTCCCAAAATCCTTTCTTCTCCAAATAAGTGAAAAGGCCAGAACAGTAGACCTCAAAGCAATTATGATTATGAGAGTAATTGGGATAAGAAAGTTGGAGAAAGCAACAGGATTCCAAACGAAAACTCTCCAAAGGAGTCTCACGAGTCTCTTGCTTGGTCCTCCTTACATTTATTGATGTTCTCAACATCTCCTTGCTCAGAGATGAAGTTCAAGAGACCTTCCATCAAGAGCAATGCTTTCTGGTATCTTTGGACACAGTCTTCTCGGTGGTGGAACATCTCATCCAAAGCAGCAGCCTGAACCTGGGAAGGAAAGATATCTTATCTATTGGGTGAGGCACCCGGTCTACCAAATATAAACCAGTCTGTTCTGCGTTTCGCTCCAATCTAGGAGCATGTTTTGCAGGCAGACATCATATACTGTGAGCACTATAAATTCAAAATGTTGTGGCTGGCAAAGAGTTAATGGGAGACTAGTATAGCTATTTCAAGCTCATTAGCTCTCATCAGCTATACTAGTCTCCCACTAACTCTTTGCCAGCCACAACATTTTGAATATATACATACATACATACATATATATATATATATAATTATAATTACAATTATATTTTTTATAGTCACAAATGCTTAATATTTAATCAGCAACATACTCTATTGTCCAAGGTCCCTTCCAACTTTCTTTCTTTTTATTATTATTATTATTATTATTATTATTATTATTATTATTATTACTATTATTATTACTATTATTATTACTATTATTATTATTATTATTATTATTATTATTATTATTATTATTATTTTAAGTTCCTTTCTCTCTACCTCGTTTTTCTAGCCATTGTTCAAAGGTATCCCATGTTCTAAAAAGTCTACTGAATCTTCTTTCTCTTTGATTTTCAATGTCAATCTATCCATTTCTGCACAATCTAATTTTTTTTAATTAATTAAATTAGTTGGTAAATCTTCATTTTTTCCAATGTTGAGCGAATACAATTCTCGCTGCGGTTAATACATGTACTATTAGATATATATACACTCTTTCTCGTAGTTTCCTACGGTTATGCCTAACAAAAATAATTCTGGCTTAAAATCTATATGTTTTTTAGTCATTTTCTCTAACCATATGTCTATTCTTGACCAGAATCTTTGGACTTTGGGGCTTGTCCACCAAAGATGGTAGTAAGTGCCTGCTTTTTGTCTACATTTCCAACGGTTGCTAGATACGTTTTAAAACATTTTTGCTAGCCTCACCGGTGTTAGGTGCCATCTGTAAAACATTTTTGTATAGATTTTCTTTGTATGCCACCGCTTTTGTTATTTTAGCATTTCTTTCCCAGAGGCTTTGCCAGTTTTTTAGTTCTACGTTATGTCCAAAATTCTTTGCCCGTGTTATCATGGTTTCTTTAACTTGTTCCTCTTGGAAGGAAAAACATCTTGAGGTGTCATCAATTTGCGGATGACACCAAGCTGGCAGGAATAGCTAACACTCCAGAAGACAGGCTTAAGATACAGGAGGACCTGGACAGACTTGAACACTGGAGAAATTTCCTGGCAGTGAGAACAATTAACCAGTGGAACCACCTGCCTCCAGAAGCGGTGAATGCTCCAACACTGGAAGTTTTTAAGAAGAGACTGGACAGCCATTTGTCCGAAATGGTATAGGGTTTCCTGCCTGAGCAGGGGGTTGGACTAGAAGACCTCCAAGGTACCTTCCAACTCTGTTATTCTGTTATTTCATGACAGCGAGAACAATTAACCAGTGGAACAACCTGCCTCCAGAAGTGATGAATGCTCCAACACTGGAAGTTTTTAAGAAGAGCCTGGACAGCCATTTGTCTGAAATGGTATAGGGTTTCCTGCCTGAGCAGGGGGTTGGACTAGAAGACCTCCAAGGTCCCTTCCAACTCTGTTATTCTGTTATTTCATGACAGTTAGAACAATTAACCAGTGGAACAACCTGCCTCCAGAAGTGGTGAATGCTCCAACACTGGAAGTTTTTAAGAAGAGCCTGGACAGCCATTTGTCTGAAATGGTATAGGGTTTCCTGCCTGAGCAGGGGGTTGGACTAGATGACCTCCAAGGTCCTTTCCAACTTTATTATTATTATTATTATTATTATTATTATTATTATTATTATTATTATTATTATTATTATTATTATTCGAATTGCCTTCAGGTCAAAACTCTTTTGAGTTCCCACCCTGAGACACACCTGGGCCCCACGGCTGCCACCAACATCGCCATCCTCCTACATTGCAACCCCAGGTGAGGTCTCACCTACCATCTGCACAGCGTGGCTGAAGATGAGCTTTTCAGCCGTGATGCTGTTGATGCGGTCCATGAGTTTCTGCTTGTCCACGAACCACCTCTGTAGCCTTAAGTTCAGGTGATGGCACGAAGAGACACTGCTTTTATACAGGTCGTTGAGCTTTCTCACAACTACGGGGAGGAAACAAATCAAGGAAGAAAAGTCACTCACCAGATAGGAAAACTGGCTGCACACTTCCTACAAGGCTCAAGGCGCTCTTGCATGGCATATTCCCTGAATGTCTTTGGACCGACTGCAATCAGTCAACTTGCCTCCAGAAGCTGTGACTGCTCCAACGCTGGAAGTTTTTAAGAAGAGACTGGACAACCATTTGTCTGAAATGGTGTAGGGTTCCTGCCTGAGCAGGGGGTTGGACTAGAAGACCTCCAAGGTCCCTTCCAACTCTGTTATTCTGTTATTTCACGACAGCGAGATCAATCAGTGGAACAGCCTGCCACCAGAAGCGGTGAATGCTCCAGCGCTGGAAGTTTTTAAGAAGAGACTGAACGGCCATTTGTCTGAAATGGTATAGGGTTTCCTGCCTGAGCAGGGGGTTGGACTAGATCAGTGGTGGCGAACCTATGGCACGGGTGCCAGAGGCGGCACTCAGAGCCCTCTCTGTGGGCACGCGCGCCGTCGCCCCAGTCCTAGGCCTTCAGCTGGGTTTTATAAAACCTTTTCGCTTTAGGCTTCCACCGCCGTGTGCAAAAAAACCACAAAAGTTCAATCAATCAGTCAATTTCAACTTCTCGCAGGAAAAAAAAAGATCTTGCAAAGTTGGAATTGATTGATTGAACTTTTTAGTCCCACCCAGTCTGCCGTTACCACCGCAGCCACGCCCAGCCAATGGGCCACACCCAGCCAATGGGCCACACCCACCCGGCACTCGACGATGCATAAGTGGGTTTTGGGTTGCAGTTTGGGCACTCGGTCTCTAAAAGGTTCGCCATCACTGGACTAGATGACCTCCAAGGTCCCTTCCAACTTTATTATTATTATTGTTGTTATTGTTGTTGTTACCTTGACTACTGTATTAAGAGGCAAAAAGAGACTCTTCTATCATCTTGAGCGCCAGGAAGGGAAGAAGGTATATAGTTGAAATAAGCTGAACCAACGTGAACTTTAACCTGGGCTGCTAAAATTCATTCCAAAGCTGTTGGAATTGCAAGTTTTCAATATGACAGAAGAAGAATGAAAGAACTAAACAGGGAAGCCTTCAACTCCAAAAAGTTTGTACATCTCTATCAGAATTTTAAAGTTTCTTCATGCTTTCCATAAGTAAGATAAGAAAGCAGTATGCAAGATTTTTTTTTTCCAGCAGTGACAGAGAGACGATGAACTTATTTTTAAAATAAAAAAACACACTTAAAAACAAAGACACTTAAGATCAACCGTGAAGATATTGAAAAACCTCCCCTTAACTCCATTCCGTATTAGTAAATCAAATTTAGTTATTCTCCTTTAAATGTAATCTGTTTTAATTGTTCCTTCTGGTTCCCTCTAGTGATCAACCTTGGAAGTTCCATCCTATCTTGTTTTTTTTTAAAGAACTCAAAACAACATTTTCCCACAGGAAGGATTCTCATCATTAATTTCAAAATCTTATTTCAGATCCCTTAATCCATTTATAACTTTCCAAAATAATCGTTCTAATCCCTCCACCCACTCCCTTTTTTAAAAAAAAAGTCCTTAAATTTGTATCTAAATCTTCTTTTGCTTAAGGATTGAAGAAAATCCAGCCAGGGTAGTAAATGAAGATTCCTAACATCTGAAAAAGCACCTGTTTAAGATGCTTTAAATATTTTCTTTTCTGCCTCTTCGTTCTACGTTGTATTTATTTCACTTCTGCTTTGCTTGTGTCTCTTTTCGAAAAGTTTGCTCGTTGCATTTTTCTTTTTAAAGCTGCTGCTTTTTTTCCCCCCCCTGCCGAATTCGCTGTCAGTTCTGCATGCTTTGGAATGAATAAAAACCCAAGGCATGCATTTCTAAAAGGTGACGTTAAAAGATAGGTGTCATCTCCTTCCTATTATTCCCCCTCTACCCCGGAACAAGCCTTGCCAAGGAATGAGTCAACTGGCTGAGTGACGGCATATTAATTTACCTACTCTGTAATTATAAAGTCGCACCCACATCAATTATCTTTAAGCCCTTCGCTTAGCACATAGCTAAGTGCTGAGAAATCCCAATCAGGTAACTAGGTGTTATTTTTCTTCCTCCGAGATTAGCCATCAGGATCTTGGACAAAGCACAGAACTCTACTTGCATTTCGGAGCAAATGAAACCAAAACAGAACAACTTCCAACTTGAACAAGATGGGGAAGAACAAGTGTAGACCACAGGGGAGAAGATGAAAATGAGATTAGCTCCCTTTCTTTTGATGTTCTTCAAGTACTTCAAGACCTGGTTAGGTCACCAGGCCTGGAGGTCCCAGGGATCTGGAGACGTGTTTATATGGCTCTACTATTGAGGTGGAGATACTCGTTCTCAATCTGCCAGGGGTCTTCCTTCCTTCCTTCCTTCCTTCCTTCCCCTCCTTCCCTTTCCCTTCCCCTTCCTTCCCTTTCCTTCCTCCTTCCGCTCCTTCTTTCCCTTCCCTCCCTCCCACTATTCCTTCCCTTTTCCTTCCTTCCTCGTTTCCTTCTTTTTCTTTTTCTTTCTTTCTTTTTCTATCTTTCTTTTTTCTCTTTCTCTCTGTATTTCCTTTCTCTTTCCCTTTTCTTTCTTTCTTTCTTTCTTTCTTTCTTTCTTTCTTTCTTTCTTTCTTTCTTTCCTTTCTTTCTTTTCTTCCTTCCTTTCTTTCTTTCTCTTTCTTTCTTTCCTTTCCTTCCTTCCTTTCTTCCTTCCTTTCTTTCTTTTTTTCTTCCTTTCTTTCTCTTTCTTGCCCCTGCAATTTTCTTGCCAAGGTTTTTCAGAAGAGGTTTGCCATTAAGGCTGAAAGAAAGTGGCCGGCCCAGAACCATCTAACCGTCTTTGTGACCGTGAACTAAAACTCCTGGTCTCTCAGTTTCCAAGCCTTTACGTCTTAAGCATGAACAGAAATTCTGAGCAACGACAATTACTGACGTGATGGAAGAAGCACCTGATTCTCCCAGGGGCCGGGACTGTAAGCAAGGGATGAATTCTCCTGTCTGCCACTACTTAAAACCTTGCTGGGGAAACAAAACTTAGGCACTCCTTGTGGAGTTGGCTACGCAAATGCTTACTTTGCTTGACAGTGGAGGAGAGACACAGCTTGCCTGCCCGGATCTGGTCAATGGCCATCTGAAGCCCGGCGGACAGCACTTCAGCCACTTTCAAGTACAAGACCAGCTGTTCTGCGTAGCTTCAACAAAACAAAAGCTCAAAGGTCAACGGAGGTGCAGAAGGAAACCACACACAGCTGTTTTACTTCTCTACCATGGGTTGATGCTGCAGGTTGCATCCCACACCTGGGTGTTGCTACTTACCTCCACTCCTTGCTCAGCAAGCTGATTTGGTCAGCAACGACGCTTTCTTGAAGCTGGTACTCAGAGGCCACCGAACTGGACATCTCACTGGCGCTCCCTTTGATGGTGGCAAGCTCCATCACGTAGTGGACAAACGCCAGGGTGAACCTCAAGCTGCGCAGGATGTCCGTGTGCTCTTGCTGAAAACGCAGAGATGGAGACCCAACGTCAGAAGGGTCAGCCTCCGCTAAGACACCCAGATCTAACCACGTCCTTTCAGCCAGGAAACAGTGATCAGTTTGGTTAAGGCGGTAGACGTTGCGTTACACCAAAGATGCTTTTTCAGGAGGCAACTGGACTTTCTTGTTTTTTCTTTTTTGAAGACGTTTCGCTTCTCGTCCCAGAAGCTTCTTCAGCTCTGACTGGATGGTGGGGGAATGGAAGGATTTATACTCCTTGCAGACAGCTGGTCCTTTGCCTTCTTTTGGAGGGTCGTTGAGGCCACTTGGAGGTTTATCTGTGTCCTCAGAGTCACCATAGATATTTAGTTATCCACTTTGGCATGAACACCTTTCGAATGGTGCTGGAGCATGAACGGATTTCCAGAAAAATAATATTGCAGACTACAGGAACCATCTGCGCTTCGGTTTGAGATGCAGACAACACAGACTCATCCCCAACAGCCTGAGCCCGTCTTCAACAACGAAGAGACACGGGGCAGAAACCATCCTGCAGCCAAGAAGGCTCCACACCCATTTGTACTACTCAGGTGACCCTGAGGACACAGATAAGCCTCCAAGTGGCCTCAACGACTCTCTAAAAGAAGGCAAATGACCAGCTGTCTGCAAGGAGTATAAGTCCTTCCAATCCCCACCATCCAGTCAGAGCTGAAGAAGCTTCTGGGATGAGGAGCGAAAGGTCTTCAAAGAAAAACAAGGAAGTCCAGTGGCCTCCTGAAAAAGCACCTTTGGGACAACCATGATCTGGATGACTGAGAATCTCCAGGGACATTGCATTATGGCCTATTTTGTCTCACGATCGCACTTTGGAATAAGCTGGGATGGACAACCTCAAAGTAGACAGATTCTTTGGTTGAGGATGGAATAGAATTTAGATTTAGTCTGGGCTGGGAAGAAGGGACTGGCTGCAAGTCTCCCAGGACGCTTCTACGGATGAGGTTTTCACTCCATCTAGTTGAACATGATGCTTCTTCTTGTAGACCAGGGGTAGGTAACCTCATCTCTTTTATGACTCATGGACTTCAACTCCCAGAATTCCTGAGTCAGCTATGCTGACTCAGGAATTCTGGGAGTTGAGGTCCATGAGTCATAAAAGAGATGAGGTTGCCTACCCCTGTAAATGTAGACCATAGAAGGAAGCCAACATGGATCTTCTCCAACAAGGTCTACAGATGAGGGTGGATTAGAGCCTAAACGTTGACTTTTCACTGTTCTCAACTTGGGTTGGGGGGGGGAATGAAACTCACTTCCATGAGTGTCTCCTCAGGTAATTCAGGTGCCTCAAAGGTAACTGCTCCTTCCAGGTTGGCAGCAATTGGATCAGCCAATGTATATCTGAGACCTGATGGAGCTTCAAGGATTTCCCCACCGGCTCCCATAATTAAGTGGCGCCCACTGAAAGATCCTCCAGAACTCAGAGAACTTGAAGATCCTACTAAAACAAAAAAACAAAAAGCAGAATATACAATAAAAAACTTAGCAAGATGAGTAAGCAAAGGAAAACAAAAGCCGTCATCTTCACCTCTAAGTGTATTTTTTTAGTAAACTGTGGGAATGCCACAGCACTGATGATGTTACCTAGTTTGGGTAATGAAACATCTGCAAGAAAACAAGCAAGCTCAGAGAGCACCAAGGACCCCATGGTCCTTCCTTCCTTCCCTTCCCTTCCCTTCCCTTCCCTTCCCTTCCCCTTCCTTCCTTCCTTCCTTCCTTCCTTCCTTCCTTCCTTCCTTCCTTTCCTCCCTCCCTCAATTCCACTCTCTTCTAGCACTGATGATGTTACCTAGTTGGGTAAGGGAACATCTGCAAGAAAACAACCAAGCTCAGACAGCACCAGGGACTCCACAGTCCTCCTCTTCTTCCTCTTCCTCCCCCACCAAACCACACTCCCTTCTAGTACTGATGGTGTCCCCTAGTTGGGTCATGAAACATCTGCATGAAAACTACCAAGTTCAGAGAGCACCAAAGACCCCACAAGAGGAGTCCTCCTCCTCCTCTTCTCCACAATGCCCACTCCCTTTAGTGCTGATGGTGTTCCTTAGTTGGGTCATGAAACATCTGCATGAAAACTACCAAGTTCAGAGAGCACCAAAGACCCCACAAGAGGAGGAGTCCTCCTCCTCTTCTCCACAATGCCCACTCCCTTTAGTGCTGATGGTGTTCCTTAGTTGGGTCATGAAACATCTGCAAGAAAACCACCCAGCTCAGAGAGCACCCACAGTTCAACCCTGAGCTATTATTCCCTGTATCCATTTCTTCGTTGTACAATGGTGCCATCTCCCTCCTGGTTTGGGTACCTGAATACATTCTGGTCCGGATGGTTTGCGGTGGTGTTGCCCCAGCCGGAGGTGACCCAACGGTGAAGACCACTGGTGAAGGGCTCCCTGAGCAACCTTCTCGAGCCCCCGAATGAGGGGTTCCTCCACAAGCCATGGAAGGAGCTATGGAGAAAGTAGGATCATCTCAGCTAAGGTTTCACGGATGGAGAAAAGTTTTGTAGACCGAAAAAAGGAGGTGGGTCGGTTCAGGATGAAAACACCCTCACCCCCATGAAGACCCCCCCACCCCACCCAATTACCCAAGTTTCCAGCACCTGTGATCTCCATGGGCTTCTCGCTGTTGAGGCTATCATTACTGCCAGTTTCCCCAAAAGCAGCTTTAAGAAGCAGATCAGTGAGGCGGCCAGTGCTAAGTGACCTGGAGAATGTGAAAATGTCACGGTCAAGGTCTTCTCTAGGTCTACTGGTAAACATAGATGGGACAATCCCATGGGGGGTTGGGGCAAACTTGATTAGGGTTGTTAGGTCTCCATGAATTCGGAGAACATCCTCAGTTTAGGGAGGGATAACGTTTCCGGCTAGTTGTGTGGAGGATGCGACAGTAGCACCACCTTTGGGGAACCCATCAAAAATGAATACCCCACCAGCAGTTTGCTTCCCAAGGACCCTGATCTGATGTAACCTCCCCATCACAAGACCCATCACCAGCCTCTCACTGATGACTCGCACCTGACCCAACACAAGGCCCTCACTTGACACACCCACACCTGAAGCCCTTATCAACAGAAGGACAGTGACACTGACATCCCCTAAACTCCGCTGAAGATGTCACCTAGCCTGGCAACGAAATGTTCGGAAACCAGCCCACAAGCTCGGAGAATGAACCTTCACCCTCATCCTACAGGAAGAAGAAAAAGAAGGAGGAGGAGGAGGAGGAGGAGGAGGAGGAGGAGGAGAAGGAGAAGAAGAAGAAGAAGAAGAAGAAGAAGAAGAAGAAGAAGAAGAAGAAGAAGAAGAAGAAGAAGAAGAAGAAGAAGAAGAAGAAGAAGAAGAAGAAGAAGAAGAAGAAGAAGAGGAAGAGGAAGAGGAAGAGGAAGAGGAAGAGGAAGAGGAGGAGGAGGAGGAGGAGGAGGAGTTGGAAGGGACCTTGGAGGTCTTCCAGTCCAACCCCCTGTTGAAGCAGGAAACCCTACACAATTTCAGACAAATGGTTGTCCAATCTCTTCTTTAAAAACCCCAGTGTTGGAGCACCCACAACTTCTGGAGGCAAGTTGTTCCATTGGTTAATTTTTCTAACTATCAGGAAGTTTCTCCTTAGTTCTAGGTTGCTTCTCTCTCCTTGATGAGTTTCCATCCATTGCTTCTTGTCCTGCCCTCTGATGCTTTGAAGAATAGCTTGACTCCCTCTTCTTTGTGGCAACCCCTGAGATACTGGAAGACTGCTATCATGTCCCCCCTTGTCCTTCTCTTCATTAAACTAGACATACCCAATTCCAGCAACCGTTCCTTGTATGTTTCAGCCTCCAGTCCCCTAATCATCTTTGTTGCCGCTATTCCCCACTATTGCAAAGGAACATCTTCTCCACCTCACCCCACCTTGAAAGGCCAAAAAGCGTAAACTCCACTCCCTTCTAGCGCTGGTGACGTTACTCTGTGGAGTAATAAAACGCCTGCAAGGAAACAACCAAGCTCAGGAACCGCCAAGGAGCCCACACGTTGCTATGCTAGTCTACCTGCAAATCAACGTTGACTTTTAGTTTTGGGTTGCGAGGGTCCCCACCTGACTTTGCTGTCTTCCGTCGGCCTCAAACCGAGACCCCCTGGTTGGTAAGGCAAGTGTCCCACTTCTTTCATATCTGGCAGGGTTTTGTTCCTCGTCGGAGTGATGACCACCGTTTGATGGGCCAAGAGAGCAAACAGGTTTTGGGAGCTGGGGTTTTTATTGAACTCAAAGGGTGACCTGGCCTACGTTTAAAAACAAAACCGAAACAAAACCAAAAATTAAAAAAACGAAGGAGAGACGTGACGAAATGGAGCGAAACGGACAGAAACAGAACATGGAATCTGCGCTTTTTGGGGGTCACCCTGAACATTTTTGGGAGTTGTTGTGAAACACCCGTACAACAAGGAGGGTTTGCTAAGCCCCAAAAGTCTTGTTCAATTGATGTGACCCTCTCGTTCCCGTTTCTTTTTTCCCCGGAAACCCAGTTTGGTGGAGTGGTTAAGGTGCTGGAGGAGACACCAGGAGACCGTGAGTTCTAGTCCTTCCTTAGGCATCACGAGAGCTGGCTAAATGACTTGGGCCAATCATCAGGAGACCGTGGGTTCTAATCCTTCCTTAAGACAAGGAGGTTGGCTGGATGACTTGGGGGGCAATCGCCAGGAGACTGGGAGTTCTAGTTCTGCCTTAGGCATGAGAGCTGGCTGAACGACTTGGGCCAATGATCAGGAGACTGTGGGTTCTAATCCTTCCTTAAGACAAGGAGGCTGGCTGGCTGACTTGAGGGGCAATCGCCAGGAGACTGGGAGTTCTAGTTCCACTTCCGTCAGGAAAGTTGGATGGGTGGCTTCAGGCCAGTCCCTTTCTCTCATACGGTTGTGGTTGGGGGGTCAGATTAGATTGACACAACCTCCCAATTTAGAACTTTCCAATTCCACCCGACGGGATACTGAGGAAGGGTAGACTACCTTTGTGGGAGAACCCAAAATGGTGGGCAAGGGAGTCCTCTGGATGAATTCAGAGAGCTTCGGAGAAGACCTGAGAGGCCGGCCAGACTGAAGACTGGGCAGCCGTGCAGCCTGACCTGCTGGGACAGGGCTGAAGTGAGTGACCAGTGGATCGGAGTACTGCTTGGTGACTTTTTGCCGGCAAGACTGGAAATCGGAGAGGTTGGGAGCGCTGTGAAGGCGATAGCCCAGTCCTCGTTGAGAAGGGTCCGATCCCGAAGCATCTGAAAGGAAGATGAATAAAATGGAAGAGGGAGTGAAGAGCAGAAAGGAAGCAGAAAACATCAAGGGAAACCATCTGGTAAGAAGATATGATTAGATTAGATTAGATTAGATTAGCTTGGATGGGATGGGATGGGATGGGATGGGACGGACGGGCGGGCGGGCGGGCAGGCAGGCAGGCAGGCAGACAGACAGACAGACATGATACATATGGCTGGAGATAGATATGGGTGAAGACTGATGTAGATATAGATGAAAGAGAGATGGATAGAGATAAAGAGATGGAGAAATAGAGAGATGGATGGAGATGATAGATGACAGATAGATAGATAGATAGATAGAATAGATAGACAGACAAACAGACAGACAGATGGCTGGAGATAGATATGGATGAAAACTGATGGACATACAGTAGATGACAGAGAGAGATGGACAGAGATGGAGAAATAGAAAGAGAAATGGATGGCGATGATAGACAGACAAGAACACTGAGTGACTGAGATGCCTCAAAAAATGGTTCAATATCAGACGTACCGGTTATGGGCACCCGAGATCTCAACTCAGTTCCGAGAGGACACGGGATGATCATCTGGTCTGGCTGCTCTGGAATTGTTCCAACTTTAGGAAAAGGAAAAGCAGCATGATGAGAAATCACTCACTCAGAGGGGAATAAGAGCCGTGGTGGTCCAGTGGTTAGAATGCAGGATTGCAGGCTAATTCTGCCCACTGCCAGGAGTTCGATCCTGACCGGCTCAAGGTTGACTCAGCCTTCCATCCTTCCGAGGTCGGTCAAATGAGGACCCAGATTGTTGGGGGGCAATATGCTGACTCTGTAAAACTGCTTAGAGAGGGCCGTAAAGCACGGTGAAGCGGTATATAAGTCTAAGGGCTATTGCTAACTGCTATTTTATTTCCTCAGAGCAAAGTCGCCCCAAACACTGTTCACCTGAATCAGATCATTGCAAAGTTCACTCAGGAATCCAGAAGGATACCAAAAACAAACAGGGCAACAGCAGAGATACAATATTTTATTATTAATGGTTCCACCTCATTGATTGCATTCTTGGGTCTTTGTCCAGCCCTCCAAAATGTTCAACATAGCTCCTGACCCTTAAAGCGTGTCCATCTCCAGACTAGCTGGATAGCCTACCTTGAGGAGAAGGTGTGTAAGGCTTGGCACCGCCAAAGGAGAACCTTCTAGGGGATGGCACTGTTCCATGCTCACCAGCAGAAAATGGAGGGGATGGGCTGGCTTTCAAGAAGCCAAGTGGACTCGTGCTGCCAGATCTTTTGACAGGATTAGACCTAGTGGAAAGGAGGATTTGTTCATTCCAGATTGTGCATAGCAGAAGAAGAAGAAGAATCAACAGATGATCCCCATTCCACCGTGTGTGTGTGGACCTTCAAGTGCCAAGACAAGAGTGGAGATCAAGAATGGCTGACTTCCATCTCCATCTGGACCCTACATCCTCTGGACATAACATTCAGAAATAGTCCTCCATCACTGTCCCTCTTTATCATATATACACCTGCTTTTTGTATCTTGTTAAATCATGATTTTTCCTAAGGAATGTTAGCAGCTGACTGAACCCTGCCTTTGGGAACAGAAACACGCTCCTAAAACATACAACATATCTAATAAAGGAGAATATCTGTAGCTCAGGGTTGACATGAGGGGTCCTGGGTGCTCTCCGAGCTTGCTTGTTTTCTTGCAGATGTTTCATTACCCAAACTAGGATGTTACCTACTTTGGGTAATGAAACGTCTGCAAGAAAACAAGCAAGCTCAGAGAGCAGCTAAGACCCCCATAGTCTGTCCTTCCTTCCTTCCTTCCTTCCTTCCTTCCTTCCTTCCTTTACTCCCTCCCTCCCTCCCTCCATAAATTCAACTCCCTGCTAGCACTGATGATGTTACCTAATTTGGGTAATGAAACATCTGCAAGAAAACAAGTAAGCTCAGAGAGTAGCTTAGACCCCATAGTCTGTCCTTCCTTCCTTCCTTCCTCCCTCCCTCCCTCCCTCCCTCCCTCCCTCCATAAATTCCACTTCCTTCTAGCACTGATGATGTTACCTAGTTTGGGTAATGAAACGTCTGCAAGAAAACAAGCAAGCTCAGAGAGTGCATAGGACCCTAGAGTCCGTCTTCCTTCCTTCCTTCCTTCCTTCCTTCCTTCCTTCCTTCCTTCCTTCCTTCCTCCCTCCCTCCCTCCCTCCTCTCCCTAAATTCCACTAGCACTGATGATGTTACCTAGTTTGGATAATGAAACGTCTGCAAGAAAACAAGCAAGCTCAGAGAGCACCCAGGACCCCCTCATACTACATATCTTAAAATAGGCATCAAATAAAAAAAAACCCTCACAAACTCACCCCAACAACCAAGATTTTTCACCCTTCAGCCAAAACACCGAGTCCACCCTCTTTGGCCAAACAATGTTAAATGTGATTCCTAGTTCTAAAGAAGTAGAAACCACATTTAACATGTAGAGTTCCTGCTGAAATCAAAGTTTGCAAAACCACATGGGCTGGCGTCACAGCACACACTTAAGGGAAGATACCGATTCCAGCATAAAAAAAAAATCAAACACGGCGCTGTTTACCAAGAGGGATGGAGAGGACCTCAACATCCTTTTTGAAAAATAGTTCCATCCAGTCGAGAGACAGCTTAGAAAAACGGCAAGCTTCCCACTTTTTCCAAGAAGTCTAGGTTAACCATCCAGGAAAAAAAAAAAAATAACAATAATCCTTTGAGAAGGACTCGATAGGAGGGGAGAGAAAAAAAAAGAGAAGCCAAAATCCACTCTAAACATCTGGCTGAGTGGGCAACCAACCATCCTCACAACGGAAATGAAAATATTTGCATTGCTGTTTAATCCATGTCTTCACCAGACTTAAAGAGGGTGGAAGTCACCAGCAAATAAATAACTTTCTCAAGCTTTGCAGGGAAGAAGAAACCAAATTGTAGCCACACACACACACACACACACAGTTTTGAGAGCAGAGTAGCTTGTTGAAGTCCGACCTTTTCCCATCCTTTGCCAGACACACAGATCCTTGGCGGCCCAAAACACAGAAGCCTTCAGAGATGTGCTTCTTGTCATCCATCTTTTTTCCCAAGCCAAAATAGCCAGTAGCTGTCAGAAGCTCCTTCCCTTAACAAAAAGGTGCCACTTACGCAAGATTCCATCACATGGCACTAAGCCATACATGCCGGCAACATGACTGATGCCGGAGTCCAAAATTGCATGCCGCGAGCGTGGCTGTGTCATGTTATGTATAATTACAGCCATGACACTTCAGAGAAACAGCTGAAATATCTGACTAAGCAGATGAGCCAGAACAAATAATAATAATGATAAGGAAAGGTTGTTGGAATTGGGTATGTCTAGTTTAATGAAGAGAAGGACAAGTGGGGACATGATAGCAGTGTTCCAATATCTCAGGGGCTGCCCCAAAGAAGAGGGAGTCAAGCTATTCTCCAAAGCCCCTGAAGGCAGGACAAGAAGCAACGGATGGAAACTAACTAAGGACAGAAGCAACCTAGAACTAAGGAGAAACTTCCTGACAGTTAGAACAATTAACCCGTGGAACAGCCTGCCTCCAGAAGTGGTGAATGCTCCAACACTGGAGGTTTTTAAGAAGAGACTGGACAGCCATTTGTCCAAAATGGTATAGGGTTTCCTGCCTGAGCAGGGGGTTGGACTAGATGACCTTCAAGGTCCCTTCCAACTTTACTACTACTATTACTACTACTACTACTACTACTACTACTACTACTACTACTATTATTATTATTATTATTATTATTATTATACAAAAATCTGCCTAGAAAAATTCAACATGGCCAACGCTCAAAAATTCAACATGGCCAACGCTATAATCCAAGAAGAGGTGATTACGTTTTAAGGTGATGCAAAACAGAAATGTCCGGTGCTGCAAAAGTTAACGGCCGTTTTGGTCTTGTGCAAACCGACGGGATTCTCCCACAGAATGCAACGCCAGGAGTTTGCTTGGCTCCACAAACGAGCGAGGTTTCCAATCTGAGCGTCCCGCTCCTCAAATTGGGAGGTATACGTTTCCCCAGATGTCCACCCAAGTTGACCGATCAAGGACAGCTTTTAATGTAATGAAATGGGAAATGATCAAAGCCACCCTCTGGCGAAGAGTCACCTTCGTCGGGTTTAATTGCATCAATTCACTGGGTTTAATTGCGTCGTTTCGTTGGGTTTAATTGCATCAATTCACTGGGTTTAATTGCGTCATTTCGTTGGGTTTAATTGCATCAATTCATTGGGAGGTTCAGTGAAAAGAAACCAAATTTAAGTTCTCGTCTTGGCATTACCCACAAATTGGAACGTAGGCTTGGTTCGCAGCTACGTCTGACCAAAAGTTTGACACTCAAATTAAACTTCAAAGAGTTTGACTTTTGGGCTTGCAAAACCATGTGCCAAGGTTGACCTAGTCCATATTTTTAAGTCTCTTCTGACAATCCTCTAGTTGAGTGAATCTGTCAGGCCCAAAATGAAGAATGGTACATGGTGATGCTTCCAAGCTGGGTTATTTTATTGTTCCAACCTATACACAGAATCTAGTTATCTGCCTCTACAATATACTCTGGGAACTGTCTTCACCTTCTTTCTCTCACACATAATATCCAGTCTGAGTTGCCTCTTAGTCTTCCTGGGAATCCAGACTACATGCCATCACACTGTTTTTATTCTCTGTCTGTTTATCCCTCTGTCCCCCCATCCATCCATCCGTCCGTCTATCTGTGTCTGTCTGTCTGTCTGTCTGTCTGTCTGTCTGTCTGTCTGTCTGTTTATCTATGCCTGTTTATCTATGCCTGTCTATCTATCTATCTATCTATCTATCTATCTATCTATCTATCTATCTATCTATCTATCTATCTATCTATCTATCTATCTACCTACCTACCTACCTACCTACCTACCTACCTACCTATGCCTATCTATCTATCTATCTATCTATCTATCTATCTATCTATCTATCTATCTATCTATCTATCTATCTATGCCTGCCTCTCTCTCTCTCCCTACCTACCTACCTACCTACCTACCTACCTACCTATCTACCTACCTATCTATCTAATCTATCTATCTATCTATCTACCTACCTACCTACCTACCTATGCCTATCTCTCTCTCTCGCTCTCTATCTATCTATCTATCTATCTATCTATCTATCTATCTATCTATCTATCTATCTATCTATCTCAGTTATATAACTGCCTATCAGGCCCCAAAGCAAGAATGACACCTGACGATTCTTCCAAGCTGAGTTCCTTCTTGTTTCACACCTATAGACAGAATCTTGCCAGGCTGAACACTCAGCTATTTGCCTCTACAATATACTCTGGGAGCTATTAGGGAGGGGCCGTCTTCACTTTTTCTCCTACACATAATGTCCAGGCTGAGTTTCCTCTTACTCCCCTGGAATGCAACCCTTCCCTCCTGGACATCCACATTCTCCCCACAGTCCATCACATCATCGTTGGCAAACAGGTTAATCAGAGCCAATCTCCCTAACAGCTCATACTCACCGTGGCAAAGTATATTGATTGGGGGATTGAAGATTCTGCTCAATCCGGCGGTAATTTTGGATCTGTGTAGGGACTGGAATGGGTATTGATTGTCCGGATCTAGTGCTGGATGAAAATTGGCTTGATCGCCTGTGAGAACATGGAAAATAGGCAAGTGATGGTTAGAGCAAAACCAGGACTACTGAACACCCTAGGGAAGATTAACAAGAAAAGCTCTGCAGAGCGTCCCATCACCTTAAGCTGTGGTTTGCTTTAATCACAGCTTGCTGAGCAAATTCTAAAGGCCCAGTTCACCCATTAGACTAAGCCTTAAACCCATGTTTTGCTTAGTGCAGTGTCTAAAGTAGTGTAGTTGTTCTCCAGCAGCTGGAGAACATCTGAGGAGACCTAGCTTTAAATCCATCCTCAAGGTCATTCTGGTTGATGAAAGACAACTTGGAATAGTTTTTCAAGGGGAAATAGGTTGAAGAAATTGTCCTGGATAGATTTCCAGGATCTTGTGCTTCCTTAGAGGATAAGGTGGCAGGACGAGACCTGAGAACATCCTGGACCATCCATCTTCTAACTGTTTGCAACCTCTCACCTTTCCACTCCATCCCCAGAAATGACGCAGGAGGGAACAATGAAAGTGGCTTTCCTAGAAGGAAGCTCCTCCAGATCAAGGGATGGTCCCGTCCTTGAGAAAGAGCTTCACAAGGACTATTTCTCCTGTAGAAGTTCACAGAACTCCGCTTCCTATTTCTCTGGCCACAAATGAGGCCAAGAATCCAGGGAAAGTCCATCTGGATGGGACAACCCACGCTAGCATAAGTGGGGTGCACAAACCAGGGCCGTGTCTTCTCATTTTTATTGGGGCGGGGAGGAATACCATCTCAGATTCTGTCTTACCCAGATGGGCTAGGAGAACTGCTGTATGGAGGAGAAGGAGATGGAGTCCTTCCTTGGCTTTCCAAGTCTGCAGAAGTCACCAGGGAGCTCCTACAAAAGTCCAAGGGCAGAAGAAACATGAACCGCCAATGCAACCAACTCTGTCAACAGTTGGAAGTCTCAATGAATCTGGAGAACACTTGATCGAGAAGACAGATGTTAAAATATGAGGGTCCTCAAGACTACGCGGAAGTCCCAAAAACCATCGTCTCTGAGCTCACATTTCAGAGTAGAAGCATCTGATCATATTACTTCTATCCTTATGAAATGTTGAAATCTCCCTTTAGTTGTTTGTTGTAAGGACACGAATCTGGTTATTTGTGTCGATTCTGTTGCAAAACGGCTCCGAGGTGTGTCAAACGCCGACACATCAACCAGGAGCCATTGAATGTTTAGCTCATTACAATTAAAAACACCGAGAAAGCAAAACTAAAAGGATTTTTTTTCCCCTTACCCGCTCCCCATCAGACTGTCCTGGATCAGCTTGCCTCCAGTAACTTCCGCAGCTAAATCACCTAAAAATCAAAAGAAAAAGAGGAATTTTAATAATAATAATAATAATAATAATAATAATAATTTACAACACTTCAATCCGCCCAACAGCAAGCCTAAAGTCAGTTGCCCAATGATGACCTTGATCATCAGCCAAGATTAAAGAGTTCCATTAACTCCCTTTTCTTTTCCAAAGGCTTAATATCTGTTGTAGAAAGGAGGATGAACAGAACAGAATAATTTTGGAATGGAATGGAATGGAATGGAACGGTACAGAATAGAATAGAATAGAATAGAATAGAATAGAATAGAATAGAATAGAATAGAATAGAATAGAATAGAATAGAGAAAATATGGAACGGAATACAATGGAATAGAATATAGAATAGAATAGAATAGAATAGAATATGGAGTGGAGTGGAGTGGAGTGGAGTGGAGTGGAGTGGAGTGGAGTAGAGTAGAGTAGAGTAGAGTAGAGTAGAGTAGAGTAGAGTAGAGTAGAGTAGAGTAGAGTAGAATAGAACAGAGAAAATATGGAATGGAATAGAATGGAATAGAATATGGAATAGAATAGAATAGAATAGAATAGAATAGAATAGAATAGAATAGAATAGAATAGAATAGAATAGAATAGTTGGAAGGGACCTTGGAGGCCTTCTAGTCCAACCCCTTGCTCAGGCAGGAAACCCTACACCATTTCAGACCAGTGGTTTTCCAATCTCTTCTCCCATGTTCCAAAGTACACGGCTTCTCCACGACCTGTGCTCCCTCCAAGTTCTCTTTATGGCTTTGGCATAAAACTCCTCTTACTTGTAAACTGGGCTGGCACCATTACAAAGTCGTCGGTGTCACATGAGGAATTTTTGCTGCTGCTTCCCGCCGATTCCTTCGACCGGTGCAGGAAAGCCGGGGAGCCTTGTTGGGGGAAGGCTGGGGTCTTCTCCTGCAGATGGGGCATCTCGCCAAGCGACTTCTCAAGGAAAAGGGAAGAGAGCCAGATTGAAAAACACAAAAACGTTGCAGACAAGCTTAGTCGTGCTTCCAATGCTTCGCTAACGGTCAAAAGCATTTCCCATAATAGTCTGCCACAGAGGGCCCAGCTCTGAGTGCACCCCAGGTGCGTTAGACATGTTCATTGGAGCATGTTGGGGGCGCGTGGTGCGTTTAGCATACTTGAAGTCCTAGTAGTGGAACTGTCTGTAGGGGAGCGAACCATCGAACATACTCACCGGAGGTGACGCTAAGTGAGACGTGGAGGAGCTGCTGGAAGAACTTCCAGAGCCAGAGCTTGGATAAGAAGGCATTGGCACCGAAGCAGCTGCAGAAAAGAGGTAGGGGAGGAGGGAAGAGGAAAAGAAAGGCCACATTTTTAAGACGGTCAACAACAAAGTTAAAACAGAAGAGAATATTTGTAGCTCTGAACTGTGAGCTCCTTGGCGCTCTCTGAGCTTGCTTGTTTTCTTGCAGACGTTTCAATGACCCCACTAGGTAACATCATCAGTGCTAGAGAGAGTGGTGTTTTCTCCTTGGGTACAGTAGCTTGCCCCACACCAGTGTTGCAGTGATCTTTTTCATTCGCCCAAACCTTATTTTATAAACGACTCAAGGCTGTGAATGTTATCTAATGCTCCTTATTGGTATCGTTATCATCATTATTATTACTCTGTTGCTTTGCTTGTACATTGGGAGTGTCTGTACCGGGGACGAATTCCTTATGTGTCTAATCACACTTGGCCAATCAAGTATTTTATTCTATTTCTTCTTCCTCTTATTTTCCCCACCACCACAACTCTGGTGAGCTGAATTGGGCTGAGGGAGATGGCCCAAGGACACCCAGCCAGTTTTCATAGCTATAGTGGGACTAGAACTCGCAGTCGCCTGGTGATTGGTCAAAGTCATCCGGCTGGCTTTCATGACCAAGGCGGGACTAGAACTCACAGTCGCCTGGTGATTCACCCAAAGTCACCCAGCTGGCTTTCATCACTAAGGCAGGACTAGAATTCACAGTTGCCTGGTGATTGGTCAAAGTCATCCAGCTGGCTTTCATGACCAAGGCGGGACTAGAACTCACAGTCGCCTGGTGACTGGCCCAAAGTCACCCAGCTGGCTTTCATCATTAAGGCAGGACTAGAATTCACAGTTGCCTGGTGATTGGTCAAAGTCATCCAGCTGGCTTTCATGACCAAGGCGGGACTAGAACTCAGTCGCCTGGTGATTCGCCCAAAGTCACCCAGCTGGCTTTCATCACTAAGGCGGGACTAGAATTCACAGTTGCCTGGTGATTGGTCAAAGTCACCCGGCTGGCTTTCATGACCAAGGCGGGACTAGAACTCACAGTCGCCTGGTGACTGGCCCAAAGTCACCCAGCTGGCTTTCATCACTAAGGTAGGACTAGAACTCACAGTCGCCTGGTGATTGGTCAAAGTCACCCAGCTGGCTTTCATCACTAAGGCGGGACTAGAACTCACAGTGGCCTGGTGACTGGTCAAAGTCATCCGGCTGGCTTTCATGACCAAGGCAAGATAAGAACTCACTGTCTCCTGGTGATTGGTCAAAGTCATCCGGCTGGCTTTCATGACCAAGGCGGGACTAGAACTCACAGTCGCCTGGTGACTGGCCCAAAGTCACCAAGCTGGCTTTCATGCCTAAGATGGAACTATAACTCACAGTCTCCCAGCTTCTAGCCTGCTGCCTTAAGCACTAGATCAAACTGGGTCTTGAGGCAGACGACAAATGCTTTTAATCCAATCGACTAGTAACCCACCAATGAAAGAGGGACTGAAATAGAATAGCTCTTGAGTTTTAAATCAGAGTGGGTTGTCGCTGGGAGTACAAGTTATGAGCTGTGTGCACCCTGCCTGGAGCTTGACACCCCCCCCGGAGTCGGCTATCCTTTGATGTGAAGCCAACAATCATTTAAGGAACAAATGCCATGATCTTCCCGTTAATTAAACCCTTCATTCTTCCAACTGCTCATTTGCTCCTTCTGTGCTTCCTAGCCAAGCAGATAAATATATCGTTCTTCGACTTATTAATCCCCAACACTGAATTTTAGATCCTCAAAGTAAATGTTCCGTTCAAGATAGAAAATTTATTAATTTTTTTTAAAGAATCCTCAGAGATGGATGCTTCGTCCATTCACAGCTCTGTGTGTGTTTTTTTGTTGTTGTTGTTCTTGTTGCGTTCAACAACCCTGCCTGAGAAAGAGACTAAGATGGGATTCCGAGACTGAATTCTGCATTTAATTTTGGGCGTGGGAAAATCGCTAAGGGGAGGGACACTGTTTGTGTTAGAAGCAGCCCGAAGAACAGAGCAAGGCTCCAACTCATGTTGAATTTAAGGAAGAATTCAACCAGGGATCAGAGGACATGCTTTGAGTAAAGTTCATTCTCCAGCATTTCCTGTTTAAAATAGATCAGAGAGCAGCGGCAGCATCTGCCCAGCTGTAGCTGAAAACATGTATTATTATTGCAATTTGCTCATGGCAGCTATTGAAATTACATCCAGTTTTGGTCACCACGATGTAAAAAAGTTGTTGAGACTCTACAAAGAGTACAGAGAAGAGCAACAAAGGCTAAAACATATAAGGAACGGTTGCTGGAATTGGGTATGTCTAGTTTAATGAAGAGAAGGACGAGGGGGGACATGATAGCAGCGTTTCAGTATCTCAGGGGCTGCCACAAAGAAGAGGGAGTCAAGCTATTTTCCAAGGCACCTGAAGGCAGGACAAGAAGCAACGGATGGAAACTAATCAAGGAGAGAAGCAACCTGGAACTAAGGAGAAACTTCCTGACAGTGAGAACAATTAACCAGTGGAACAACCTGCCTCCAGAAGCGGTGAATGCTCCAACACTGGAAGTTTTTAAGAAGAGACTGGACAGCCATTTGTCTGAAATGGTATAGGGTTTCCTGCCTGAGCAGGGGGTNAGAGGGAGGGAGGGAGGGAGGGAAAAGACATCTTAGAACCGTTAGGAAAAATCTCTCAAGATGTCCAGATAATTGCTAACAAAGTTTTTCACATTTTAAGGCTGCAGGAATGAAAATCTCTGGTTCTCGTATGCTGGACTATGAATCTCTGACTACTGCTGGTTTATTTGGTTGGATTTATATCCCATAATTTCTGCGGGAGTTCAAGGCAAACTCCTTGTCATTTTGCTTCACAACAACTGCCTTCAAGGGAGGCTGGGCTGAAGCAGAATGACCGGGCCAAGAGGGAGCTTCCAGGGTTGATGGTGGACTTGAAGACTGCAAAAGGCTAGACGTGGGGCTGGCCCTGAAAAGCATCCAGAAGCTCCAGTGGTGCAAAAGGCAGCAGCCCCCCATGTGCAGACCTTGGTGTGCACATGGATCACTTCTCCTGCGGGAGCCAGTTTCCTTCCAGTTTGCAATTCAAGACGCTGGTTGCCACCTTCGTGGCTTGGGACCAAGTTATCTGAGGGACCAGTCACATCTACCCAACCCACTAGAGTGGGGAGCCAAGGAATGTTGTGGGTCACATCCCCTCAGGAGATACATCTCTCAGGACCCAGAAGAAGGGCCTTCTCCGCGGTGGCTCCCTCTGGAACGTCATCCCTCTGGGGGTTGGACTAGATGACCTACAAGGTCCCTTCCAACTCTGTTATTCTAACATCATCCCTCTGCAAATTAGACCACCCCCCACTCTTTCGCTGGGGAACCCAGAGCAGGATAGAACCCATTCAATGGCTAGTTTGAATGTTACCTGGGTGCATGTGTGTGTGTGGCGTTATTATTGTATTATTTTATTATTTTTCTTCTCCTCGCTATTTTTTAATTCTTTTTATAGGGTGTTTTTTCTCTCCGTGTAAGCCTGCCTTGAGTCGCCAGCTGCGAGGAGGCGGCACTATACATTTTCTGAAATAATGAATAAAAATAAATAAATGGTCAATACAGCTTCGTTGCGAAGTGCATGAATTTTCCTCACGTGAGTACAAATGGTCCTAAGTCCCCCCCCCCTTTTTTTTTTTAGTGCTGTGGTAATTTTGGCCACTAAACTAATGGCTGTAAGTTGAGGACCACCCGCAGTCCAACAATATCTACAGAACATCCAGTTTTCCATCCCTGCAACCCGAGATAGGTCAATTAAAAGAGGGCTACCAAGTTACACAGGTATGAAATGTGAAATGATGGTTTGGTGGGAGACCGCCCTAGAGATGAAGTTGGGAGATTTGAAGGGTCTATCCTGGCTTGTATCATCTTCTCCAAGTCCATCAACCAGCTTCTTTCTCCAAATTCTGAGCACTTTTTAGCTGGAGATCTTGGACCAAGGACACCGATGTCTGCTCTGAGCAATGGTGGACATCTCAAGTGCCATGAAAGAAAATGCAGAAATGTTCCATGTAGAAGCCGTTTGGGACAAGGAAGGGCTTCAAGAGACATCTACACGAGGAGATGAATTGACCCGGTCCATTTATTCAGTCACTGTCACTCTTCAATACTACCTTCCAAGGATCTGACAGTCCAAGCCACCTTCTTTCTTGAAATTGTCTCCTTGATGCCTACATCAAAGTTGACTCCCTCATCCTCTTCCCAAGAGGTTAGGTTCCTAAATGGACACCATGGTGTTTCGCAGCCCAAACAGCTGTCACATGTTAAGCTGTGCTGTCAGTAACACGGATTTGTTAATCTGTGCCTCATTGGCAGTGTTTGTGCATCTTACCACGGTCTTCCGGTAAGCCCACATCCCTGTCAACTCCTGAAAGATGGAGGTCAGGCAGCTCCTTTCTCCTGTCTTTCGCACTGTAGCATCGCTCCCTTCGGACAGTATGACTTTGACTCCCGAACTATACTCAGATATGGGACGGACGTGACTTGGGAAGCAACGGGACCATCAACAGTTGCTGGTGCCGACGTTTCCGAGAACCCATGTCCCTAGACCTCTGGGTTGATGATGCTGGAGACAGTGGCTGCGTCACAGGAATCCGTTTCTGGTTGTTGCAAGTGTGAGTGTGTGCCTTTAGCGGAGTGATGCTCCGTAGATCTTCAGAGGTAGTTGGTAAAGAAGGGAATGAAGGCCAAGTCAAGAAGATCCTTTCTGGCTTGTCTGAAGATATCTGTTGGCTTGCCCGCTGTAGATTGGGAGCAGATGGTGGCCCTGATTGAGGATTCTTCTGGGCTGTTGTCAATGAAGGCTTGGGTTGAGAAGATCTTACTTGGCCAACAAATATCCCCGGCCTGGTCGTAACCCTTGTCCACGACGGAGGAACCACTGGGATAGGAGGATCTGCTAACCTCTGAACACCCTTGGAACGGGAGTTTGCTTTCTGCTTTGGAGAATGACTGCCTTTCTCTGTCCTACAA